GAGATGTTTAAAAAAATTAATTTTAAAAAAACATATTTTTAATCTTACATTAATTTGATATGCAATGACAGTTAAATTTGGAAATAGTGACATGAAAAGTGTTATTTAATTTAAATTAATTTTACATAATGTAATTTAAAAAAGTTATTTAAATAATAAAATTAAGATAAAAAGCATTATTTAATGATATTATTAAGATCAACTTATTTAATAAGGTTATTAAGATATAAAAGAAACAAATAATATTATAAAAAATAATTTTTTTCTTTTCTTTATTTTCAATAATGTTATTTATTAATATATTCAATTAAAAAATTAATTTAAATTAAATAATACTTTTACAATACTAGTCAATGTTAAAATTTATCAATTGATGGATGTCAAATTAGTTGTAGATCAAGTTTGTGTATTTTTTTAATTAAAGAGACTAAATATCTTTATTTTAAAATAAAAGATTAAATACAAAAATAAGATATTTAAAGTACAATTTAGTCAATATAAAAATATTTATAGATTTTTTATAATATACTTTTTTAAATTAAATATGTTTTAGTTTCTAGACTTTTTGTCAATTTTTGTTTTTAGTTCTTAAATAAATTTTATTTGATTTTAGCCTCTAAAAGTTTTCTCCTTGAATAAATTCTTTTTTTCTTTTTACATTAGAGATTAAAATGTTATCTAGAAAAAAAAAACTTAAGAACTAAAAGTGTAAATTGATATAAATTTAGGACTAAAATTAATTAAAATTTCGTTCAAGAGCTTAAAATAAAAAAATGACAAAAGTTTAGATACTAAAATATATTTAATCTTATTTTTATATATTATATTAGTTATAGTACTTTGGCTTTTTTTTATTATAAGAATTAATTACCTAATTCATTATAATTAAAGAAGTTATTTAATTTTGTTGATAGTATTAAATTTAGAAAACATAAAAGAGCCCAAAGAATATTAGGTATCCAATTCCAACTATTTCATGTGGAATTAGAGACAAATAGTCAATTACTTTGAGCAACAAATTCAAAATTATTAATCTTTTAAAATAATCTTCGGTAATTGATATATATGTACTTGGTAATTTTGGAATGACGGTACATGGTTTGGTTTTCTCTAGGAGCACTGAGTGATGCTGGTGGATCGGATAATGAGCCTCCAGACAGTGGTGGCGGTGGTTGTTCTCAACCTCGTCCTTCCTTTAAAGATATGTGTACAGGAATTAAAAAGTTGTTCTCATCAAAGACCAAAGTGATCCTCATCATGGAAAACCTTGCATGTATCGATCTCATTTTAAATATTTCAAATACTCTTTCTTTCTCTTATATCTCTTTATACTTTGAGAACATGTTGTTAATAGTAATTTTTGTTATAAAAAGAAGAAAAAGTATAGAGAAGAAACAAGACAGTATGAGATGAAGAAAAGAATTTGACTGTTGTATTATCTTTGAGAGAAGAGTAACCTATTTATAAGTACATGTGGTAACTGAACAATTACACAATAAAGGGAATAATACATAATGAAAATATATAAATGGTAATGATTGATAATGAATATTGGCATCCACTAATTAAGCCACTAATTATTATTCATAACACTCCCCCTTGGATGTCCAATATTTAGAATGTACCTCGTTAAAACCTTACTGGGAAAAACCCTGTGGGATAAAAACCTAATGAAGGAAAAAGAGTACATCATTCATAAATATTTATTTCTCCCCCTCATGCATGCAATCTTTAAGACGACGGAGTCCAATCTTGTGTATCAATTGTTCAAAAACTTTTCTTGGAAGTGACTTTGTAAAGAAATCTGCTAGGTTGTCACTTGAGCGGACTTGTTGAAATTTATATCACCATTCTTTTGAAGATCATGAGTAAAAAAGAATTTTGGTAGAATATGCTTTATTCTATCTCCCTTTATGTATCCATCTTTCAATTGTGCAATACATGCAACATTATCTTCATATATAACTGTCGATGTCATTTTTCCAGAAGATAAACCACAAGTTTCCCGTATGTGTTGAATCACAGATCTTAGCCAAACACATTCACGACTTGCCTCATGTAATGCTAAAATTTCAGCATGATTAGATGAAGTGGCTGATATGGTTTGTTTTACAGATCGCCATGAAATGGTTGTACCACCATTTGTAAACAAATATCCTGTTTGTGATTTACCATTATGAGGATCTGACAAATAATCTGCGTCTGCATAACCATTTAGTTCTGGTTTGAGAATATTTAAATATAATAACCCCATATCCATTGTACCTCTAAGATAATGAAGGGTTTGTTTACCTCCATTTCAATGTCTTCGTGTAGGTGAAGAACTATATCTTGCTAACAAATTAACAGTAAATGCTATATCAGGCTGTGTATAATTAGCAAGGTACATTAGTGCTCCTATAGCACTAAGATATGGTACTTCGGGACCAATTATTTCTTCACCCTTTTCTTGGGGTCTAAATGGATCTTTGTTAACATCCAAAGATCTTACAACCATGGGAGTGCACAATAGATGTGATTTTTCTATATAAAACCTTTTAAGCACCCTTGTTATATAAACTTATTGATGCACAAGAATTCTATTTTCTAAGTATTCAACTTGCAATCCGAGACAAAACGTTTTCCTTCCTATATGCTTCATTTCAAATTCTTTCTTTAAGCAATCTATTGCTTTTGAAAGCGCTTTATAAGGTCCAATAATTTTGATGTCATCTATATAAACTAAAATTATGGCAAATCCATTTTCAGATCTTTTTATAAATATACACGGATAAATTGGATCATTTTATATCCTTATTGTAACAAGTATTCACTTAGTCGATTGTACCACATACGACCTGATTGCTTTAGCCCATATAGAGACTTATTCAATTTGATCGAATAATACTCAAGGAAAATCATTGGGAATCTGAGGCATTAATTTTCAACTTAGAGATAATTCCAAGTATTGGCGCTTCAGCGCCAACTCCACGGCCTTAGCGCCAAGTTCCTGCCTGGCCATTTATGTGTATTAGTTTCTTTAAAAGTAATTAGTGGCTAAGTTAGTTAAATTTTCATGTCAGTTACTGTTAGTTCATCGATCTTTTATCTATATATTCTCTCTATTTTTTTTATAGTTATTTTATCAGTATTTTGTTATTTTTTTCATTGTCATTTTTTTAAAATTAATAACTTATTAATTTTTTTTCATTTTTATCCTTGATAATTAATGTATGTTTACTGAATAATGTGTCTATTCATTTTTCAATATACCTATTTCTTCTCCAACCACCTAAAAGGTATAACAGGAAAATAAGTAATAAATACTTTGAAAAAATAAAATATCAATTATTTTCTTAATTCTTGTGCATAACCTTAAAGACAATGAAAAAAAAAATAGAAGGAGTATGAAATAATCGATTATATTGAATGAAGTAAGTTCGTATTTTTCACATGGACTAGGGTCTTGTCTAAGACAGTGGTTATCTTGTGACAAAACCAATCTATAAAGATAAAAGAAGTGATTATTTATCTATTTATTTATAATATAAAAATTGAGTTACATTTTATTATGTTGACACGTTATTATAAAACTAATTTTACATATTGTAATGTTAGTATATTTATCCATGTGACAAATTTTTTAAATTCCTATCTTTTATTATATTTTTCCTTTATTTTCTATATATTACATCTTTTCGCATTTTATTTAATCTAATTCTCATTTTTCTATTGTCTAA